TTGGCTAGTAAATTTTTTAGTTTACCCACCAAACTAATACTATTTTATATATTATGTAATAATTAGACTACTTTTGGATTACTTTCAGATTAGATGGATTAGAATCAATAAATTGTGAATAAAATATTGCAAGTGTGTGTTATCATGTAATCAATAAAAAAAGTAACTGTAGTCTGATTACGTGTATATTAAAAGGTAATTTAATCTAATTACAAGTACTTAATTTTTGTAATCTGATTACGTAATTCAGATTACATGTAATCAGTTACTACACAGCTCTCTCTCTCTCTCTCTCTCTCTCTCTATATATATATATATATATATAAATTAATATATAATTCTTTTTTTTTTTTTTATATCTGAAAGTACACTATTAACATCAGTCAGTCAAGCAATATAATATATGATATTATGATAACCAAGCATTATTTAATAATGAAACTTTTAATGATAGAACAGTAATTAACCATATAGGAATGCATATTTGTCATTTTAACTGAACTTAGGACTGGTAGTGGTGCTTAAGATATTTTTGGTCATTCAGTGTTTATGTAAAAAAAGGGGGGGGGGAACCTAACAATAATACTGATAAGATAATAATTCTATAAAAATTCTACTACTAATAACAATATAAAACCCACTAAGGATTAATTATCTGCTGGGTTCATGAATATTAATCACATCTGCCTTCGCTCTAACTGATTTGGTGAAATCAAAAAAGGGACGATAATTGCTGTTTGCAATCTCATAATCTTTGTAAGTAATAATGTTTTTGTAATTTATTTTTTTTATTTTTTTTTATTAATATAGTCTTCAATTATGGATCCCTGCACATGACACAGAAAAAAAAAATAGATATCGTAACCACAAATTAAGAATTAATTCCCACAACTTGTTAATTTGTGTCCACGTTTTATTAATTTTTTCCCTCACTTTTCAAGAAAACACTACACAACTTCTAAAATCTGAACAGATTTGCTCCAAACACAGCAAACTGATGCAGAAATGTGCACTTCGTTGCTAGGAGATGCATGACAAATGAAAACAATATGTGTTCTAAAATTGGCACAAAATACCATACATATTTGGTACTCTCTGACTGGATGCAATCATAGTCTGAGGCTAGAAAATCAAAGTATGAGATACGCAAAATCAGTCAAAATCTGCACACTGGCTCTGACTTTTGGCAACTAGCATTGACTCTTCCAGACTGTAAATAGAAACAAAATTCTAGGCAAAATGTGTTATATTCCAGGCTTAAAACAAATTAGAACCATGTAGTCACAATTTACCTAAAACAAGGAAACTAATTCTTAAGTTATGACCATGATATCTTGCTACACCCAGCATGTCATGTGTGTAAATCCATACATTTTTAATCCGATATTGATATAGCATTAAAAAATATAAAAGAAAAACAGCTTTGTTCCCATCAAGTCCGGCCCTGTTAATAATATTAATTCACCATTTCCTTTTACACCTACAGCTTTTCCAGATAATGGATTGTACATGCATTTCCTTGTCAAGAGTTGGCTTAGTGCTCTCTATGTAAATACTTCACTACTCTGTAATATGGGCGTTACAACAAATAAATTAGAAGTAAACAGGGTGTTTGTTTGATCAGCAAGCATTTTCAAAGTCCTGTAATAATGGAACCAGTGTTAGACATCAAAACGTCTCCTGCTGGAATAAGTAGATTTTAATTGTCAGATCTTACTGCAATTTGTGATGTGGTCACTTTACAGACTTAATCTCTAGAAGGCAGATTAATTTAATTTTGTGATATATTAGACAAGCACTCAGGCCTTGTCTGCCATATTCCTAACTAGTGTTTTGTCTCTATTATCTCTGTCTCTCCTGCAGGGTGGAACTGTCAACGGATCAAGTAGTCAAGCCAGTGAATACAGAGGCTCTGTCTAAGTGGGTGGGCAAGATCCCTGCTGATGTGGTGAATGATATGGCCAGCCTTGCTCCGATGTTAAGTCGCTTAGGTTATGACCCTCTTGCCAACCCACCAAACTACAGCAAGCCTGATCTCTTATTTCTGAACAACACAAAAATAGTGAGGTCAATCCAAAACTGAAAGATCCTCTCAACCTGTGAAAACTTTGAAGCAATAAACAATGTGCATTTTTGAGCACGTAAAGCCTTTACTTGAATTAACAACTTCAACAGTTTTGTTGGAAAAGAAATTCAGCTTATATAGGACCATTGTTGCTTGTGGCAACAGTTTCATACAGTGATAGTTTTATTGTTGTATTGTAAAGTCATTTTTCAATTAAATTTGATTTAGATGTTTTGTTACTTGTATGCTTTGGTGTTGCTAATAATGTCAGTCTACTGACTGTACTTTATTGTCTTTTGATTACTTTTATATGTGTAAATGCATGCGTGTTGTGGTAGATGTGTCATAATGAGTGACTATTACACAGGAAACTGTTTGTTGAAAGAGGAAGTCAACAGTTGCACAAAATGACCACTTTTTGCTTTGTTCTCCTTGACTACAAGAGTATAAAGGAAGTTTAGACATGTTTTTTTAAAAGTTTAGCTTTCAAAGACAATCTCATTTCATTGTAGACCTTTTATTGTGAATTTATGAATTGCATACTTCACAAATGTAGTCCAAATATGAAGGACTTCGGACATGGTCACTGCTGTGGATGAACTCTCAGTCCTCAACATTCCTTCACATACCTTCACGTTCAGTAACATTAGACCAGTCTGTCTCATTGCATGAGATTACATATACGTTTTGTTACAGAAAAAAACATATATTTATTAAATGTTAGTTATTTCTAAAGAAACCCTGTGTGTGAATATATGTGTGAGATACTCAGATTATTATGTGGTGTAATCAAAACAAATTTAGAGGACATTAAAAAAATTATTTTCGATTGCCTTTTGAATTGAGTTGAATTGTCATTGCATGACAAGTGAAAAAAAAAATTATTGACCCCGACGTGATTTGAACACGCAACCTTCTGATCTGGAGTCAGACGCGCTACCGTTGCGCCACGAGGTCTTGTATTATCAATGCTAGAATGATTTATTTAATTTATATGGCTTGTCTTGGTTTAGTTTAGTTTTGGGTTACATGCTGGTACTAAAACATTTATCTAGCGTCACCACTCAAAAATAATAAGCTCGCCAGTGGCATTTCTCTTATAGTTTAACATAACAGGGTTACGTGGACAAAACGTGCAAAACTTCGCGCCACGTAAATTAGTCCATGCGTTTGGATGTTATTGAAATGTATCTTGGAATCGCAAAACATTTTTTTCTTAATCTCGAAAAAAAAAACATATTTAACGGTAACGTTAATTAACGTTAGGCTTCCGTGTACACTAATGCTGTTTCCTGAAAATGTACATTAAAGTGCATATCATTTAAAGGGGTAACATCTATATGATTTTAGTTGGTAAAACCTGCTTCTTTATAAGTAAAAAAAAAAATAGCAATGATAAATAAACGCGTCTTTTTCTTAAATCCTACTAAATCAGAGAATAAAATACTATTTGTATCTAAACTTACATTACTCTTACTGTTCCCACGGGTACGTATGTTCCTGGTGGTCTAGTGGTTAGGATTCGGCGCTCTCAACGCCGTGGCCCGGGTTCGATTCCAGGTTAGGGAACAGTGTGTTTTTGCGATCTGCACATCATGCTATTACATAATATATTTATATTATGTATTAATTATTAATAATATAAATAGTATATATATATTCACTGATTTCTGTAATTAAAAAATATATATATCCTTTATATTTAGACCACATTTGTCAAAAATAAGTATGCACGTACATAATTATTTGGTGATCCACTGTACACTTTAAAATAAATTTAAATGAAATGCCATAGATAATATGTTACTACAGCACATACGTCGCCACTTCAGAATAGGCCTACACCAAAAATACCAATAACCATAAGCACCAAATACACCCGGAAGACAGCGCGACTAGCCCACTCACACACGCGATTGGCTGAGGTGAGATAAAGTGATAAACTGCGTGCCATGAGTACGCTCGACTCACATCTTCAGTGAAAATACTGGGAAGGTAAGTTAATGCACTTGCATTAGCACTAGCACTTTCATTGTCTTTCGTGTTGTTTTTTTGACCGAACGTATCATGTTACCGCTACCAGATATAGTTTGAAAAATAATGCACCGATGAGAAGAAAAGCACTAAAATTTGTAGTAATCCAATGAGATCTTGTTTTCTGTGTACGTGTAGCTATTAAGTGCATTAAGTCGGTGGTTTCAAATAACGTTTAAACATTTAAACACAGAAAATATGTGAATTATTTCGTTGTAATGTTGCTTTAGCTTTCAGATGTAAAGTAGTTGTGTATCTTGTCAAATGATAGGCTATAGCATTTACAATTCAAATATGGAATGTCGTTTTTGTCACTTCTATATGCAAACATTTGCAAATAACGTCCATAAGAGTGTTAACATTTTCTAAAGGTCACAATGAGGGATTAAAAAGAAAGGAGAAAATACCAAAACATATAGCATAAGGAGAAACGAGAAAATGTAGATTTATTAATGTAATGTAGGATATATACAAGTAAATAGTAAATATATGCTACACTCTGGGGTTTTGATTCATGCACTTGCATGAACGATTATGGAACAAATACCTGCTGTTTTGGAAAATTCAGTGAAGTATATCTTTATTTTCTAGTTGGCAATGGATTTAACATGCTATCAGTTGATAACATTTGAATATTCCTTGTACCTCCACAAAAATAATTTTACTATTGTTTTATATTCACGCCTCTGCCTTTGCTTTCCAATTTGTTTGTGTTTGCTTCTTCATTTGCACGTTGTTTTGCCATGTCCCTTTCCAGTTTTTAGCTAAAATGGGCTGCCATGCATTCTTTTCAGTGGTCTTGTGAGTGTGTATATTGTAAAGGTCTGGCTGTTTCCAGTTCACAATATGATTTTCATTTATAGGCCACTCCTATTAATGCTTGGGAACTCTAGGTTGAGAAATGGACGGCTTTCATGTGACCATTCGAACCTCAGCATCTCCTCCGCTGTCAGGAACATATGGCAGGGTTTGGATCTCTTTGATTGGTACTCTGTGTGAGAGTCCTCCAGTCAGAGTGGAGCACTTTCTCTTGCCAGGCTCAGTAAGACAATCACCTATTTTGAAAAGACATCAAAAACTCTGAACACAGATGAAATTAAGTCATTTAACAGTTTTTACAGGTTTAATAGTTTCTAAATAAAAATGCAATCGTAAGAACAGAAGCCCATACAGTTTTAAAAATTAACTTTTTATTAAGGCACAATATTTGTCTTTTAAAGGGGTCATCGCATATGATGCGATTTCAATTATTCCTTTCTCTTTGGAGTGTTACAAGCTCTTGGTGCATAAATAAGATCTGTAAAGTTGCAAAGACTAAAGTCTCAAATCCAAAGAGATATTCTTTATAAAAGTTAAGAGTCAACCACTCCTACCTAAAACGGCTCGTTCTAACACGCCCCCACATGTCTACGTCATGATGTGGGAAGATTTGCATAACGCCGCCCAAATGTTCACGCAAAGAAAGAAGGCGTAACTTTTATTCTTGCTGTAGTATTGTTGCCGCCGCCGCCATGTCGTGAAGGCGCTGTGTTTCATTGTGATAGCGAAACTACTTCGTTTGGCCTTCCAAAAGAGGATGATATCTGCTTCGTCATGCCTGGAGGTCGCTGAGGAAATACATCAACTTAGTGATGTGGATCACCGGATCGGCTTTCACCGTGGACGAAGCGGAGTCCAGACCGGGGTCGTCACATGTGGTTGCCGCAAGACCCTGGTCGCTGAGGAAATATATCAACTTCGCGCTGTGGATCGCCAGATCGACTTTCACCGTGGATGAAGCGGAGTCCAGCCCGGGGTCGTCACATGTGGTTGCCGCAAGCCCGCCGGATGCGCCGTTCTCAAGCCCGCCTCCGCTCACTCTAGCCCGCCGTGTGTGATACTGTGTGTTTCGTTGTGAAAGCGAAACTACTTTGTTTGTTCCAAAAATGGACACGACTAGAAATCAGTGGTTAAGTTGTATTTACAACACTGTTCCAGAACACTTCAACCCAAATAATCAGATGTGTGCAGCACATTTTATGGAGGACTGTTTCCTGATCCTGGAAAAGTAGACTACAATGCCGGCTGTTCTGACTCACAGACTGTAAGTACGTTTTCATATTTAAAGAATTTGCCACTGATGATTCAAACGCGAGTTTTGAGCAGTGTAGAGTAGCGCTTGTTGTTTGTCATTTCTCCGATCACAAATGCAGACATGGTTTTATGTTTACGCGGCGCGATGCAATGCAACGTGTAAAAAGACAGTATAAGTCATTATAATCCGTAATTATATCCCCGCTGGATGCAACAAATGACTCGTTTTAATGTTTTTGTCTCATCGCTTCGGCCGGGACACGGCATCACAATATGGTAAGGGGCGTAACATTTCCGTCACACGCTTGATGTATTCGGCCAATCACAATGCACTGGATAGCTGGCCAATCAGAGCACACCTCGCTTTTCAGACTGATGAGCTTTGTAAAAATCGATGCGTTTCAGAAAGGCGAGGCATAGAGGAGAAACAATAATGTACATTATGTGGAAAATAATGTGTTTTTTTAACCTTAAACCGCATAAACACATTGCATTACACCAAATACACAAAAGAATGTTCTTTTTAGCAATGTCATATGACCCCTTTAATTTATAAAGGTATATTTTTTGAACCACATTAAAAAGCAGTGTTGTGCCTATTTGTGTCAAAAACGAATTAATCATAAATAATAAATACAAAAGCAGTTGTAAATAACGCACAAGATATCATAACACAATATACATGAAATCAATTTGACTATGTTAGATTATGTAAACCACTGTTCAATAGTTTTATAAGAAACTAAGATTTTTTTCTTTATTTTTAAAATAAAAACAGTAACAATGTAAAATACTATTTAACATACAACTTAAATTAAAACATTTATTTTATGTTTATTTTAAAATATAATTTATTCCTGTGATGGCAAAGCTACATTTTCAGCATCATTACTCCAGGCTTCAGTGTCACATGATCCTTCAGAAATCATTTTAATATGCTGATCTGCTGCTCAAGAAACATTTTTTATTATCATCAATATTCAAAACAGTTGTGCTGCTTAATATTTTTGTGGAAACCATGATACATTATTTTTTTATAATATTTTTGTTGAAAATAAAGTTCAAAAGGACAGCATTTATTTGTAACATCATAAATGTCACTGTCACTTTTGACCAATTTAACGCATCCTTAAAAAAGTGTTTTGTCAAAACATATTACCCTTGAACAGTAGCGTACTTTACATTGACAATGTGTCACAATGTTCAGCAAGCTCTTAACAACATTACACTCTTTAACCAATGCACTTATACGCACACACAGAGAGAGAGAGAGGAGAAAACAACTTCATTTTATTCACTGCATTTCTCTTCCTCTCTATCTTGCTTTCTATAATCGGAACAGTATACAGCCTGTAACATCTAAAGGACACTATAGTGTCTGCTGAGGCACTTTAACCTATTCTAAACCTGCCTAGGATATAATATATCAAATCACTGTTAGATAACAGAGAAACAGTCATTCACTATGTCAGCATTGACCATGACCCCATCACGCAGGTACACATGCAAATGTGGTGTTTTTCTTTTTGGGACAGGCCTATACAGTTGTCATCAAGCCTAAAGAGGAAGTTGGCATAGTGGTTCTGTTAAGACTCCGTCTTGAGGCTCAGCCTGGCTTTCCGGACCTGGATTGGCACTGTCATGATGTGCAGGTGAGACGGAGTTCTGAGGATCTCGAGGTGGAGGTTTTTCCTTGTCATAAATGGATCCGGACAGCAGATGGTTACATCGAGCTTCGGAATGAGAAAGGTGAGCTGTTTCTGTTTTCACCATTCTTTCACACTTGTTAATTAGGTAATAATATCCTTTTTATTTCCTGGACTTCATATCAAAATTTTGTGATGTTTCCCTTCTCTAGCATGTCTGAAAAAGAAGGAAACATTCGATATCCTAATCAATCACAGAGAGAGGGATCTCCAACATAAACAACAGTTTATGAGGTAAAACCTGACTTTTTACTCATTAAAATTTTTTTTTACTCATTTTTACTCCTATTGAATTCATTAGTTTGATTATTTTTCTTCTTCTTTTACTCTGAAAGTCTATGGCAGCCCATAGAACCGCTTGCGGGAAAGTAATGAAATAAAAAAAATAAAAAAAGTAAAATCTACTTATTCAAACTTGTCCTAGACGGTTTGTCCAATTTTCACCAAAATTGGGTCAGATCATCTTCAGAGCATTCTGGCAAAAAATAATGAAAATATTTTGATATGCCTGTTTTCGTAAAGCATGTTAACGAATTTGAAGTTTGTGCAATAATGGATATGAGGCTGTATCTCCGCAAAGACTTAGTGGATTCTGACCAAACTTGGTATGTGTTGCGATGCATCGGCGGTTCTCTCAGATCGCGTCTTTGATCATTCACACTGCGTGACTGTCACTTGTGTGAATGAGCACCGATTCGGGCATTTGTCAGCGATTTCGCAAAACCTGTCGGCGAGTGAATATCAGTGCTAAAATCGTGCAGTGTGAACTCGCCATAAGTTTATGCAACTGGCCCCCGAGCAAAAATTATAAAATGATTATATTTGGTTTGGCATACTGAATCGAATGCTACTTAATTTTGGGGTGTTGGCCATTTTAAGTTGGTAGTAAAATGCTGTGTGAACAAATGTCTTTAACAGGTGTCTCCACCCCTGCTCCTGGAGATCTACCATACTGCAGAGTTCAGCTTCAGCCCTAATCACATAAACCTGAACCAGATAATCAAGGTGTTCAGTGCTACTTAATTACAGACAGGTGTGTTGAAGCAGGGTTGAAACTTAAGTCTGCAGGAAGGTATAGCTCTCCAGGAGCAGGGTTGGAGAACCCTGGTCTTTACCAAGTAATTAAAGACAGCTCCTTAGCTCTTCATTTTACCTCTGTTGTGCTTGACCCCTTAATTGCTGCTTGCAGCTATATTTAGTTTATTGTTTTTGCCCTCCCATTTTTTTCACAGTTAATAACGATGTTATTTTTTGTCTGTAGGTGGGGCACATTTGTTGAAGGTGGTCCTCACTGTGTAGATATGACCAGTGTTACAGCTCTAGGACCAAACTTGAGTTACATCCGTCAACGGTAGGGATTTAGCTTTCTAAGATTCATTAAAAACTAGATTGATATTAATTTATTCTTATGCCATATGAACTGAATTTGACAATGAAATGTTGTCACTCTGCTTGTCTTTTAGCCCAGTTAACAATGTGCACTACATAAAGAGTTTAATTGAAAGAAGAACATCTTGGAGCAGCCTACAGGAACTTGAGACATTCTTCCTTTTCAATGGAAGGGAGAACACAATTGCCAGTATGCTAAACAAATAGAATTTAATTTACAATAAATTAAAAGAAATAAATGATAATGATGATGATTATTATTATTAGTAGTAGTAGTAGTAGTAATATTTTATTATTATTATTATTATTTGTAATATTTTAATAGAGAATTATTTTTTTTCTCCCATAGAATATGTTCAGGCTCATTGGCAAGAGGATGCATTCTTCGGATATCAGTGCCTCAATGGTTGCAATCCTCTGTGTATCAGACAGATCCATAACCTGCCACCTAACCTGTCTGTCACTTCAGAGATGGTCAGACCTTTTTTACCAGAGGACTCATCACTGGGACAGGAGATGGAGGTGCGAACAAGTGTGCAAGTGTGAGATTACAGAGCATTTTGACATTTTTAATAGAACATAATAGTTATGTAACTACATAATGCATATTACACAGAGAGGACATGTGTATCTTTTGGATTATGAAGTACTGGATCAGCTGCCTGCTAATACTGTCAATGACAAACAGACCTACTTGGCTGCTCCTTTATGCCTGCTGCATTACAGCCGACAAGGAGAACTAAAGCCCATTGCCATACAAGTAAACATTTTAACCCCTTTATAATTGTAATAGTCACCAATCTCTGAGTAGTTATCTGAGTAGTTATGTGATGTCTTCTCAAAAATCTCTTTTGTCTGAATTTTATTGACCAACTGAATGCTGAAATCAAGACCCAAATCTTAATATTTTAGCTTCAACAGGCTCCTGGTCCACAGAATCCTGTTTTCTTGCCCTCTGATGCTGCACCGGATTGGTTGTTAGCGAAGATGTGGGTCCGTAATTCAGATTTCCAGGTTCATCAGCTACTTACCCATTTCTTGCGCACTCATCTTTTAGGTGAGGTGTGCTGTACCGCCACGCTCAGACAGCTTCCCGAGATTCATCCTCTTCACCAGGTACAAACAAAGTTCAGCTCAGATGCAGAACCATGCAGTGGTGACTTTGACCATTAGGGGGCACCATTTACTTGTTGTTGTTTTTCTTGTGGCGTAAGTGGTCCTGTATGGAGCCAGATCGGCCTCAAAAATAATACATTTATAAAACAAAATTCATAAATGCACAGCACAATTTACATTTACAAAATCCGATTTGTAAATTCAAAACACAATTCATAAATACCAAATGCTCACACAAAAGCATCTTACCTAAATAAATTTAAAATCTTTAAGAAAATGCCATCAGATAAAAAAATTACTTTACTCACTCGTTGAGTCTGGTTTTCATCCTCCATGCTGAAATCTCTCCGCTGTG